AAATGGTAAAGTATTGGAATTACATGGACGGCTGGCTTGAGAGTCAAACATACGAAGCAGTCCGTAGCGACCGGCGTTCAAATCAACCGCACGGTTACACTAGAAACCCCAACGTTTACTCAAAAGCAAAGATATAAATTAAGACTTTTTTTCTCTCTCTCTCTCGATTCTGATTTTTCCCTATGTTTTTTTTGGTACTCCATTACGTGTGACAGAATTAAACCAAGCGCCTCGTCCTTTGCTGGCACGCGTTGTGAGAATGAGAAAAAAACATCATTGATTCCAGAACCTATTTGTGCGAAACCTGTCTCTGAGCCACGCCACGTGACGTTTCATCCCGTGGCTAAAACTATCTTGGACTCAGACTACTCCCTCCCTCCCCACCACCTGAGAAGGATAATTTCCAAGTCTAAACACTCGTTCAGCCCTCTAAGGTTAACCGCGATGATACATTCCTACAATTACCTATCCTGACCTTTCGCTTGGCCAAACTGCCGCGAGGCAAGGTAAGGCACGTCGATTGTAACGACGAGGACAGACGATAATGTCCCTTGCGAAAGAGACATTTTCATTCTCGCTCATCATCATCAGCCATTGTCCATCCACGTTGTCTATCCACCATACAAAAAGAAAGCACTTCCGATTAGCAAGGTTGGCTACGTACGGTGCGAAAGAAGTTCAACATACATACAAGACTGCTGGATGAAGGCCTCCCTGGGCTAATGCCATCCCGTTACTGGGTCTCGCGCTGCCGCAATCCATCTCGCTCCGCCGCGTCACACTTAAATCGTTGCTCCGTCTCCAGGTGTGTTCCCTCCTTTGGCTGCGATTCTGTTCCCCAGTCTCATCCGTTGGCCGTCAGAGCCATGATGTGTCCTGCCCAAGCTGACTTATTGCTTTCACGGTCTACATAATGCCTCTGACTTGTGTTTGTATCATGGCTGACAACTTGAATAACAAGGCCGGATAATGCAGTCTCGAAAACGACGAGCACGCGCCACAGTGCGCGGCCAGCGTGACGCTGCGATTACGAGCAATGATGATGATATAATGATGAGGATAACGAACTAAATAAGTTGCATCTTCGACATGAACACCGTTAAACCCCAGCACGCTAAAGCACATCTCAAGCATCCGATTCGTCGCTCAACCGATCCAATAATCGGCAGGAACTCATCCGTCGTTTCAACAGTCGACAAAGCCGCCACTCTAACTCTCGCCACACCTCGCGCACGCACACACACGCACGCACACACACACACGTACGCACGCACACACACGCACGTACGCACACACACGCACGCACACACACGTACGCACTGCACACGCGTACGAACGCATGCACGTGGAGACAGGAATTTTCAGCTTTTTTAAGTGGGTGGCCAAGAAGAGTAATAAGACAACGGTGGCCCACTCGAGATTTGTGGCCATCACGTGACTTGCCGCGGGATCTCTGTGCACCGCGCCACACCTGACATCGTTTTTGAGTCAAAGGCAAAAGCGGCCGATGCGGCCGAGGCAGCCGCAGCAAGGGGGCACATATCCTCCATCGCAGCTGCCCGCCCGCCCGCCCGCCCACCCGCCCCGACTCTCTCACATCAATCTCGCCCGGGCAAAGGCGTTTGGTGCAGAAAATTTCTACCAGGTGTGAGTGTGTGTGTTCCAGCATGTACCATAACCGTGCCGGCACGGGCCTTCGGGCAAAAGCTCGTGCGATCCAGTTAGCGGTTTCCCGATGGGCGCGGTTTCTGACGAACGCTATGTTTCCAGTTTGTCCGGAGCAATCGGGCAAAAATTAGGGTCCCGCTAACCACTCCGGCTACGGGGGGTGCAGACGGTAGACCGCAATCGCATTCCGACGCATAGCCAAGCGTGGCGTGCCGGCGATGAGAATCGAGCTCTGCCTTGCGACCCGCTCCCACGTCGACGCACAGCTCGCCTGCTCTCTCGCTCCACTGCTGGATGGAGGCCTCGCCGCTCAGTGCTGGTCATGCGGGTTTGTTTGACCGTACTTCACCGCCTCATCCGTCCTCCTGCGGGTAGCCAGGTTACGGGCGTGAAATGTGGCGATGTTTAAAGGGTGATTGGTGATCATAAAGCCCGAAGTTTATTCATGTCGAATCATCAGAATATGTATTTATGCTGGAGGAATTTGATGAGCTATAAAGCTCTTGACGACAGGTGCCCAAGGGCAATTAAAAATGGGGATGGGGGGGGGGGCAGTGTTCATCCTCCAATGGAAATTCCACATTATCATGGCTGGGCCCAGTCCATAAACGAAGCAACCACTTCATTAGGGGACCTCCTGCCAGAAAGGGTAAAACCTATTCTTATAGGGAACAACCACTGTTGGCATCTCACTAAGTAGTGCTGAATCCAGCAGTGTGATACATCGCAGCCGTTGATCAATGATAGCGGTGAGCAAAAAGAATACCGTTGAAATATTCCACTGAAACAAATTGGTGTAACCATTAGAAAGTTTCGCTATAATCCACTCGTAGCACTTCCAGTTGCCAACAGTTGGAGCTGTCACATCCACTCGTACGTAATCCACATTCAGGCAGACAAAGGTCCCCCGTATAGCCTCTGACAGACTGTTGAGGCAAGTGCTGTTAGCGAGCGCCTATGAAGGCTGGCACGGCACAAGAGGGGGTTGGTGGCCAGCACAATGCCCGGCCGCCTTTGATCTTTACAGACTACACCAGCTATTCAATGGAGGCTGAGTCGACTTAGGGGAGGCCCATGACCGGTTCAGATAATCGTCACTGGTGTTGGTCATGAGCGGGAATCGAACTCGGATGGCGGGGTTCGTAGCGCAGCGAGCAAACCACTGTAGTGCTGCTCCCCACAACACACTGATACACACCGAGAATTCAGCCAAAGTTGGAATAGCTGGGGTGGAGCACCCAACTCCTACCTCGGTGCTGCACTCAATACAATTCAACGTAAAGCAGCAGCCAGGGTGATTGATGTTTCAGCGGCACTCACTGATCCACTGCAGTCACTCGCTCACCAGCGGTCAGACACCTCCTGATTACTCTTCTATGGCTACGACCACGGTCACTCTGCTTGTGAATTTCACTCGGCGATTTCCCCACCCACGTTGAGGACTCGGTCTGCCAGACACCGACCGTCTGATCTCATCCACACGGTGTTCAACCAACCACAACGCACACTCACCCACTCACTCACCACACCGCAAGGTCACACCAACACAACAACAACCGCCATTCGCCACTAAGTGGCGGTGACGTCACCACGACGCTTGTGCCAGGCCATGTGCACCTTGAGGCTACGTGAAGTGTCTAACACCCGCTGGCAGGAGGTCACGGGGCAGACCCAGGTGCCACGGGTCGACTGACTGAGATGACACTCACATACTCGCACACACTCTCGACCACTCAACAACAACCGCCGTTCACCACTAAGTGGCGGTGATGTCACCACGGTGCTTGTGCCAGGCTAGGCGCACTTTGAGGTCACGTGAAATGTCAAAGGCCTGCTGGCAGGAGGTCATGGGACAGACCCAGGTGCCATGGGTTTATATAATAATAACCTTTCTCAATTCGAAGCAACGTGTTACAACACCCTTATCTGTCACAACTTGGTGGTGGTCCGCTTAACGGTTTTGGCCTAGGAGCGCTGCGCTCAACAGCTGCTGTGCGCAGTAAAAGTTAAAAAAAGAGACGACGTTTCATCTACAAATCACCAGGGCTAGGACAGCAAGGAAAAGGTCACGGCTGAAATTCCTACCTCTGATCCAGACAAATAAGTGACCACGGCCAATGCAAGACAAGCCATTCGGCGTCTTTAATTTCTTCCCCCCCCGCCTCCGCTACCCACCTTGTGCCGCCGCCGCTCGATTGTGCCGACTGGCATTCGTCGCAGGTGCACGGCTCAGGTTTTTTTGTTGTTGGCGCGTAAATTGAATTCGCGGGACCCATTAAATCCAGACGTAGGCACACGCACGCACGCACGCGCTCGCTCTCTCGGCGGTATGTGTAATGACTTACAGGTGCATGCGCGTACTTGGAGTGAGCAAAGGATTTTTGTTGTTGAATTTTTTTTTATATTAAATAACCCCCCCCCCACCCGCGCCCCCCCCCCGTACCACCTCCCTAAAATTGGTTGGCACACAAAAGGCACTGCCAGTTTGGTTACCAGAAAAAAACTCGGCGGTGAATGCCGGCGCAATCATAACGCTTACCTGCAGAACGGCGTGGCTAGCGCACACACACACACGCACGCACGCACACCTGTACACACACACACACGCACGCGCGTGCACGCGCACCCAGACACGCACCACCTGTGGTCGCACACATGCCGGAGGGGGGGGGGGGCACGCACGTACACACACACACACAAGCGAACGCACCTGCGTTGACACGCGTTTATGTACACGCGCGCACACGCAGGGAGTAATGCCTGTTCTCGTACGAATAGATACGGACACACACAAAGATAAATACCGCCTGTGTAGCCTACATAAACTATTTGGAAAAGTACTGTCAGCAAGCACCGATTAAGGTCGGAAACTGCGCGCCACTGCGCGTTTGGCCAGCACCATGGCTGGGCCACCTTAATCTCCGCCGTGCCAACGTTTACACAACATGGAAGGTAATCATTTAGCACTGAGCCGACCTAGTGGAGGCCCAGAACCGATTGACGCTTTCGCCACTTATCTTTGTCTGCGACCGGGAATCGAATTCAAGTCGCCAATTCTGTTTTGCATTATGCTAACCATGACAACACCTTTCCCACACATGCACACATACACACACACGTGCGTTCACAAACAGCCAAACAAACAACCATGCACAAACACACACCTGCAGCGCACAGCGTAGCAAGCGTAAATTTACAACACGTGTGAGCAAATGGTCTTTGAAAGCGTGGCTATGCGTGTGGGTTAGTGCATCGACATGCTGCTGCTGTTTATTTACTGATGTTACTGCTGCCGCTGCCGCTGATGTTACCGCTGATGTGATGTAGCCCACCTGAGGATGCTGGGAATGTATATTTACAAGGCCGGGGTCTCGGGGTCCCAAGCTCATGAAGGGGCGGTTGGTAGGGGGAGTGATGGGCGAGGAGTAAGCTGTTAAGGGGAGGCGACAAGGGCAAAGAAGGGCGAGAGGGGTGGGGGGAAGAGGTTTGAAGGATGGGAAGATGTGGGGAGGGAGGGGGAAAGGGGGGGGGTTGGGAGGGTTACGGAGTGCAGGGTGTGTGGGAGAGAGTCGGGGGGGGGGTAAGGAAAGAGGGGACACACATACGTTCATTCAGGAAGTGAAACAATGAATCAAAACAGAGCAGGAAGTTTTAACTGTGAGCAACGGAAGCGAGTTTCCGCGTGCGGCGACGAGCGGGCAGGAAAGAGCCTCTGTGTCGCTTTGAGATTAACTTTTTTTTTTAAAGATGTTTTTTTGTTGGTTCATACTTTTAAAACGTATTTTTGTTTAAAAAAAACAAAATGCCATTCGATAAAATATAATAAAAAACATTAAACATTTTTTTCTTTTAAATTGCTAATTTTCGTTGTTAAACGTATTCATTTTTACCCAAATGTACGTAAGACAGTTTTTTTTACGCGTTTTTGCTTCGTTAACGAACGCATGCAACAAAACGCGCTCTTCAATTCAAGCGCTCGTCTTAATGATTGTTTCAGAATGAACCGGTGGGTCCCCCCCCCTGCTTCCTTGCCAGAAAAAATAATCAACGTTCAAACGGTGGGGGGGGGGGGGGGGGGGGGGGGCGAGAGGTGGGGGGGGGGAGAGATGAGGACTACATCTCAGGCTAGCGCGGCGTGTAGCTGGTTGCACTCGCAGCCAGAACGCGGGTCTCTGCTTGTCACAAACGCGCCGATCATTTCAAGTCCGTGTGAGTAAGTGTGGGGGGGGGGGGGGGGGGGTGTAGCGGTGTGGCGCAGCGGTCAGCAATACGAAAACAATTCCTCTCGAATCCATGTCACCTGGGTTTTATTCCCAGCCACGGCTAAAACCGTTAGCGGTGGGAGTGATGTCTAAACCAGTCCTGGATTATCCACCCCTTTCACCAAACCCACACTGACCCAGCAGGGCAAAGTAAAACGAAATTATAAAATTTGAACAAAAATTCTGCCAGGAAAGGCCCACTGAGCTATATTCGGTAGCGACCTGGCCACAAATGATAGCTCAACGAAGTGGCTTATCGCGTGGAAATATATAACAGACAAATACTCTAAACGCACGCCGTTTCTAAATGCGGAGGGAAAAGCCGGAGGACCCGGAGAAAAATCCACGTGGCCACGGGATGAGTGAACATGCAAACTCCAAATGAACCGGCATCATCAGGGTCAACCCACGACCTGTAAACCAGCCGAGGTTGTTCACATCTCCTAGCCACCGTGGCGGCCCAAGGAATGGCTAAACAACCCCCATATACGAGATACGGTGTGGCGAGGTCGCCATCCAGCAGTGGTTGGACCAAGTGGCTGTACAAACGCCAGCGACGAGAGTTTCGCAAACAACACAGAACCGGCAGGAAATAGCAGGACAGATGACTACATCTCTATCGGGCAGCCCTGAGCCAGTGGTGGAAATTCCACATTCCCACGGCAGGGGAACACTTCACAGATGCACGCTTGATCTTGTGAAAGGGAGAATTTGTGGAAGAGAAGGTGGGATTTAACTTTTGCTGGGTCTGAACTGAGTTTGAAAACCTTCGCCCCTCAAAGAAAAAGATCACCAAAGTATCTGTGACAGACTGCTTGGGCAAGTGCTGTTTGCGAGCACCGATGAAGTCCAGCACGGGACGCGATGGGGTGGGTGGCCAGCACCACGCCCAGCCACCTCCATCTCCCCAGTGGCGATAATTTGTACACACTGTATAGCAGCCAAATACTCTTAAACGCGTGATGTTGATTCTAAATGTAGAAGGAAAAACCGGAGGACCCGGAAAAAATCCACGCGATCATGGGGGGAGAGACACGCGCAAACTCCAAATATACAGCAGGCGTCAGGGTCGGTATCGAACCCACGACCTCCTGTATGCCAGGCGAGGTAGTTAACATCTCGCTACCGCGTGACGTCATTCAGTTGGGATCAGACATAGCAAGCAGCTTCACTGGCTCCCTAGGTCGCACAACGCTTGGCAGGACTCAGTGAGGCTGTCCTGGGAAAACAAGTGTCAAAATAATAATAATATTAAAACTCTTCTTGGTTCTTTCGGTAAAGTCACGAAGAAGGGAAATAATAAAATAATAAAAATAAAACATAATAAAATAATTCTCACGACGTTTCGGCCACAACGCAAGCAGCCGTCTTCAGGTGAAAAACAGGTCTGTCAAGAAGACAGCGTCTGAATGAAACACCCCAGGCTTGGAGCGTCTATTTAAGCTGGGTTGGAGGGGGAAGAGCGCCTTGACAAAAGAATTTGCATATCAAGAGGAATTTAGCATTTTTATGGGAAATGCAGATATGGGATTAGTACTACTTGTGAAATGCGTAGGTGAGGACGGCTGCTTGCGTTGTGGCCGAAACGTCGTGAGAATTATTTAATGTTTTATTTTTATTATTTTATTATTTCCATTCTACGTGACTTTACCGAAAGAACCAAGAAGATGAATCCCTGCAGTCACGAAAGCTTTAAATCGAAAATTAAAACTATCATCATCGAGGGCCCAAGTGGCAAGTGGTCACCACACAGGAAGGAGAGTTGTCTCTGTCTCGACGTGCCTGCTCCTCAGTGTGTCTCTGTTTGTGTGTGTACATCTCTTCATGGGTGCTCGCTAACAGCACTTGCCCCAACAGTCTGTCAAAGGGTATAGGGGGGATCTTTGGCTTTGGATAGTCTCTACGTTGCTCTGTGCCTCTGCGTTGCTCTGTGTTTGTGTCTCTCTGCGTCTCTCTGTGTTTCTCTGTTTGTGTTATCTCTGTGTCTCTCTGCGTTTTCTGTCTTGGTTTGTCTGTGTTTCTCTGTCTCTTTCTGTGCTTCTGCATGTATGCGTGTCTCTCTCTGTGTTTCTATTTTTCTGCGTCTGTCTCCGTGCTTGTCTCTCTGTGTATGTTTCATTTGATAAGTCTCAGTCTCTGTTTCTTTCTCGATGCCTCTCTCTCTCTTCCCCAGCTTCACATTTTCGGGAGCTCTAACATCTTTGCCTCCAGCTTGGCCGCCTTTGCATGCCCACCCCTAACCAACCGCCAGGCCTGCTAACACTGCACACCAACAGCAGTGTGTCTGTACGTTCGTGTGGTCGTGCGTTCGTGCGTGTGTGCGTGGACAGCGGTAGTGTAGCGGTTAACACGCTGCGCTACGAACCCGGCGACCCGAGCTCGATTCAAGCTCACGGCCAATAACATTGCCGAATATTTGAATCGGTCCTGGGCCTCCCCTAGGTCGATTCAGCCTCAAATGAGTACCAATGTGTAAACATCACCACCAGGGAGACAAAGGAGGTCGTGCATGGTGCTGGCCACCCACCGCCTCGTGTGCCGTGCCGGCCTTCACAGGTGCTGCTCACTAACAGCACTTGCCCCAACAGCCTGTTAAGGCTACACGGGGGGGATCTTTGTCTTTGTTGCGTGTGTGTAATCGCGAGTCTCGCCAGGGTCACCGACACAGGGCGCAGCTGTTGAGGAGGCATCAGGGCTTAATGTCTCTCTGAACGTATTTAGGTTTACTGGTAGACCGACTTAGGTCGCTACGCGGTCAGCAGGCCACCAGCCACAGCCACAGGCAAAGGCACCCGGGGCGTGATGCGACGGGCGGCATCACGGTTCTTCCGCCGGTGTGCCAACCGGTAGGTGACAGGAGGCACGGACGACGAGAGCCGTCGGGTGTCGGGGCGCCAGAGCGAGGGGGTGAAGTGAGGTGAGCGTGGGGTTAGAGATGGACTGAATGGGATCGGGAGACGGGGGCGGGGGTGTGGATGGGGACAGAGGAAGCGGGGGGTCAAAGGGGAGATGCGGACTGAATGGAGCCCCTGGGAGTCACCACCCTAATGCTACATCCACTGTGTACACTGAACAGCGTGCAAAATGCAGAGCCTGAAGTGGATTAAAAACAATCAAAGTTAAAGTTTGCTACGTTGTGCACAGCCTTCCGTGCCTAGCACTCGGCACTGCTGCATGCCGTGTGACCGCACTGCAGAACAGGTTGCTATAGGCTGCCGCAGAGGCTACGTGCTGGGTAGTAGAAGGCATTGCAGCGATATCTATTGTTGGACCGTACACCTATGCCCCCCGCCCACCAAGTCTGTGCACCTCGTCTTCTGCCGACACGGCCGTCCAATCCAGCAGTGAATCGGCGGAAGGGGCTGTAACGTGTGCGTATTGCTGAAATGCTGTGCATTGCATTGGGTGTATGTACATGTATGTGTGTGTGTGTGAGGGCACGTATCTAAACAGGTGGCAGGCAATACGAGGCAACATGCCTCACCCCCCGCCCTCCCCGTTGACCCCTACTGCCCCCCCCCTGCCGCCCCTCCCCTCCCACCGCCCCCACCCCGCAGAGATGGAGCAAAGAGGTCGGCCCGCGCGTAGGAGCGAGGAGTATCGTTGCATCGCGTGATTATCAGAAGACACGGCAATGGCTTTGGCAGGAGGCCTTCATCCAGCAGTGGATAGATCACGGCTGACGATGATCGATGACGATGCTGAAGTGCACGTGTGTTCACGTAGAGAGTATGTGGCAGATGTGTACAAAACAGGAGAAAAAGTCTTGAACAATTCAATCTTTTTGCAAACCCCCCGACTGAGAGGCAGACGCTTTTAGAATGCGCTGTAACAGAATAGAATGAACCCGGGGACAGAATTATACATTGTGGTCATGTTTAAGGCCCATATATGGAGTCATCGGGCGTGGATTTGCCCGTATAAGGAACGGGTGTCGACCGATTTTAAGGATACAAATCTTGATCCATGCTTGATCCATGCTCGAACACATAGCTGTAATATTTAGAATACGTTTTCTTAGGTTAAAGTGATTCCTGTCACATTATTTGTGGATCTAAAGAGATGATTCGTGGATCGGAAAAGCCCACATTAGGCCGCACCTTGACGCCGATTGGATTTCTTCCACATTAACATAATTGATCATTAATTCTGTCGCGAATTTTATCCT